ACTTAATTAATTATAAACTTGAAATTTTAATTATATCAATTTCTTATTTAATGAAGAAAGTAGAGATAGTCATTAAGCCTTAAAGTAAAGGCTGAATAAAAAGTATTGAGGACAAAAAGGATAGTTGGATTATCATATGCAAGTCAATTTTAGAAAATTTGTAAAAATATATAATTTTTTTATTTGAGAATACATTATAAATAAAATAGAATCAAAATATAAATATTTTTGTTACAGATAATCTTATTGGTATTTCTTAATATTTCATGCATGTTAATATATAATTAATAGTTATTCGGCACGAAGTGCCGAATAACTATTATATTAGGAAAATCAATTGGTTGATTTGGGGCTCCGCAGGAGCCCCCGAATCACAAATCAAATTTGATTCCCAATGTATTTTTACATTTTATTATAATGATATTATTATATTTGAATTTTATATTACATTTAATTTAAATTGTATAGTCATCCAATGGTTTTAGTAAGACTTCGCAACTATTAAATAAAAAAATAAGAGGCCTTTACAAGAAATTTCATCTTCTGAATTAAATACACGTCAAAAGAAAAAAAGAAAGGGAAAAAAAATAATTATAAATAAAACTTATTATACAAATTGTACTATATATAATTAATTAGTTTTAAATGTGCCTTAATAAAAGTTATTAATGCCTGATAATGATTTTTTGCCTGATAAACGATTTATTATAGTTATTGTTAATTATAAAAAATCAGAATATCAATGATTTTCACAGCTACGCTGTGAAAATAATGATATTCAATTGTGCTGAGTTACATATCATTACAAATGGTTATTAAAAGGATATTCAGAATTTATTGATTTTAATCAATTAGTTTCACGTATTCAAATATTTAAAGATGAACTTTTAGAAATTACCAATAGAAACCTAGCAATTTATTACCAAGAAATTGCCTTTTAAATTTATCAAGAAATTGGATATAATAAGGCTAAATCACCAATGATATTTATTAATAGATGTAAGATATTTCAGGTATTAATTTTAATATTCATTTTTTATATTATTTGTTTTATAAAACTTTATTAAATCATATTAATTTATAGGCTAGATATGGTGCAAACGGCTTAGTCACATCCAATATTACTAGCAACTTTAAAATGTAAAGGAATTTTATTTAATTATAAAAATATTAAAAAAAAATATGTTGTTTGATAGCTCTTGATATGGTCTTTAATGCAACATATTTTTTTTAATTTTATTGTAAAAATTTTTCGTAGTTAAAAATTTTGTAATATCAATTTTAATAGTAATAGTAGGATTTTTAGCACTACAAAAATCACATGAAAGGACATGATTGGTGTATGTAAATTACATTATAGCATATGATTGACTAATCACAACTCAAAAATTTTATTTACATGTCTCTGAATTCTTCTAAAACGTTTTCAGAAACCCGACGATGAGATTAATAGCATTTAACAGCAAAGACAGTCACCTTACCTGAGAGTCCAAGTTCGTAAATACTTATGTAATGTATAGAATAACATGAAAACTGACAAATTTTAGTTAGGCTAATGGAATCTAATGCATGCAGTACAACTTCCTTGAGGTCATTGAATAAGTAATTGCAGTTAAGACATGAGTACCGCTTTGCTTCCACCTAAAAGGACTCAATATAGTTAAGCTCGCAGTAAAATTTTGGATAGAACATGCACATATGTCCAGTATTATACACAAACATTATTCGCATAAAATTGAGCGAATACAGATATTTGAAACATTGTCTGAGATTTGCGTTCTGTAATTTGTCCTATAATAACTTGTACAATAGACATGTCTCTGGATATTTAGGATAATTCCAGACAATTTGATATGTCCCGGACAATTCAATAAATCTTTTTTTTTATGATCAGATAATCAGTTTCTATCTTTGCTTCATACTTTAATTTGTCAGACTTTCAAATTATATCTTTCTTATACTTATATTTCGCACCTTTTTTTCATACTTATCTTTAAATATTGTGGAAGTTTAACAAAGGTCTAAAATGAAAGAAATTACTCTATAACATTTCCATGATCCATCACCTTCACTATCTTCACTATCTTTATCATCTTTACCGCCTTTATCACCTTTACCACCTTCACTACCTTCACCACCTCACGAATTTACCTTTAACAATATTAACAATAAAGATATTCTGTTACTTACAGGATTTTAAACTAGAAATAGAGGTTCAATTTTCTTTAATATCAAGAATAATATCAATTTTGTAAGGATTAGAAATTTGGTATATGAGCAAGTTTTTCTAGGTATTTTAATGGTTGATTCACCTTTTATAGCAATTAAATTAGTAAGAATTAATAATTTTTTATCATTTCAAGATTTATAAGATGTCACTTCCTTCTTTACTAAATCAGTATATTGTTAGAATTAAAATTAAAATTAATCAATGTAATTTCAAAATATATTATAAACTATATATTAAGGAATTGGAAGAGGAAGAAGAAAGCAAACCATTTTTTCCAAATAAAAGGGATTGAATAATTCAACATTTTAAAAAATGTCCAAACTTTACTACTAAAACAACTATGGAAGAATGTACAGAAATATTTAAGTTGCTTGAAAATAAAAATTTATTAACTTCAATAATTCCAAATAAAAGACCATGTAAATATTAGCATAAATATAATTTATATTATATTTTTAAAAAGTATTTATTAACAATCACTTTTTTTAGTTACAGATTCTTCACAACATTCTACACAATCTCAATCTTCTGTAACATTTACTCACAAAGTTATCTGATCAACTTATGGACTTATGGATAATTTTATTATCTGATCTTTATCTAAAAAAGATTTAGAAAGATTTTATATATTGTTACTTCGTCTTACTGTTTCATATAGATAGACATTGTCTTAAATTAATAAACCTGAGGCCAAACAACTATTTGATTTTTTAAATCCTTTTTTGAAATTACCTAACCATCATTTACTTGAAGGAAAAATTTAAAAAAAGCCGTAGATAATGCTAATAAAGTCATGAAAACTGCTCTTATAGAAGATTTTATAGGTATAACTTTAACTTTTGATGAGTAGATGAATGTTAAAAATAAGCAACTATTAGGAATTGTCTTAATAACTTCGGAAGGAAGACTTTATATCTGAAAGGCAGTTGACATTAGTTCAAAATGTGAAAATCATATTAAGGTAATGGAAAAAACAGAATCAATGCTTATTGAATTAAAAACTAAAGAAATTACTGTTTATACTGTTGTTACTGATAGTGCAGGTGTATATGCAGCAGCTCAGTATATTTTTGTTAATGTTTTTTTTAGTTTTGCTGTATAAATATTTAAATATTAATATTTCATTTTATTATATAGGCGAAGATTAAGAGTTTCAATTTGATCAGTTGTATTTCTACCATGTTTTGCATATCAGATTAACCTTTATGTAGGTGAAATCTTCAAAGAATCTACAGAATTTAAAACTACAATTGATTAAGCTATTCGACTTATAACATATTTTAGAAATTCAAATAACAAATTTTTTATTGCTTGTTTAAAAGAGCTACAATAAGAAACATACAAAAAATATATAACACCAATTATTCTAGGAGAAACATAGTGAAATAGTATTTATGCAATATGTGTAAATCTATTAAATACTCAAAGGGTATTACAAGTAAATATATTTTTTATTTATTAAACTTAATATTTATTATTATAAAAATTAATATTGAAAATTTAATTTAGATATTAGCTATTAAGTTTAAACTACCTATTTTAGAAACACATCATAAATAAGGAGAAACCTAACAATTTTAAGAATAATATTTGAAATAATTGATTCTAGTACTTTTTGAAAAAATCTTGCATCAATTGCCGAAATCCTTAATTAACCCTTATAGTAAATTACTTAATGTTTTATAATGTGATAAGGCATAATTATTTCAAGTAGTTCATAGTTTAGGTTATTTAGCTCAATTTTAGTTAAATTACTCTAATACTACACTTGTTACAAAATTAATTACATGACTTGAACAATGTTGGAAAGGATGGAAACAGCCATTTCTTTTATTATCTTGTTTATTACACCCAAAATATAGAATAAAATGTTTTAATAATTCAATTTCTAATATAAACTATTCAACTTTTGGAAAGTGGCTTATGTATTACTATCATATATAGTTTAAAAAAGAACCAAAATGTATTCTTCGAAAATTTGATGATTTTCATTTAACTAAATATCTATTTGATATTGATATATATAATCAATTTAATGGTAATGTTTGGTATTATTGGTACTATGTTAGTATATCTACAAATAAACTAGGATTGGTTGCCTATAGAATTTTTGGTATATGTGTAAATGTGGTATCTGTTGAAAGACTTTGGAGTTGTATGGGATTTTTACAAACAAATTGGCGAAATCGTTTAATGGTATATTAGTTTATATTTATAAGTTAATTACTTTATTAAATAATATTTTAAATATTTTTTTATTATATAGTCATTTAAAGCTCTTGAAATGAGTAAATTGGGAGCTGATATTATATATTCTCATTGTCTTTCTATATCTGAAATTACATTAGATATTGATAAATCACTTAATAATCAAGTTAGAAATGATAATTTAGATGATTTGATAGAAGATCATGAAGGTTTAATAGAAGATAATGAAACTTTAACAGAAGAATTAGATAATGAAAATGATGAATTAAATCTAAAAAATGAATTTTGTGAATATCTTCAAGGTTGGGTAGATATGTTAGAAGAAGAATATATTATAAATGATGAATTTGATGAAAATAATGTAATAGATGATATTGAATATCCTGCTACTGATACTAATGCTAAATGGGAGTTAATAACTCTTTTTAAAAATGATTTTAAATTACCTTTTTAATAAAATTTGATATTTGATAGCATTAATAAAAAAATTATAAATAATTTGTTTTATAATTAAATAATCACATGATTTATATATTGTCCTAAATGTCTTGAACATAAAAGTATGAAATATAGTCCCATATTCTTGTTCCTGTCCTATGACAACACTGCTATAAGGTGGTAAAGGTAACAGAGGTGATAAAGGTAGTGAAGGTGGTAAAGACAGTGAAGGTGGTAAAGACAGTGAAGGTGGTGAAGACGGTAAAGGTGGTAAAGGTGGTGAAGACGGTGAAGACAGTGAAGACAGTAAAGGTAGTAAAAATGGTAAAGGTAGTAAAGACAGTAAAGGTGGTGAAAACGGTGAAGGTGATGGGTTGTGAAGGAGTTGTAGAATAATTTCTTTCATTTTAGACCTCTGTTAAACTTCCACAATATTTAAAGATAAGTGTGAAAAAAAGGTGCAAAATATAAGTATAAGAGAGATATAATTTAAAAGTCCGACAAATTAAAATACGAAACTGAGAAACTGATTATCTGATTATAAAAAAAAGATTTATTGAATTGTCCAGAACATATTAAATTGTCTGGGATCATCCTAAATATCTAAGGACATGTTCATTGTACAAGTTATTATAGGACAAATTACGAGATGCAAATCCTAAACAATATCCCAGATGTCCGTATCTACTCAGTTTTACGTAAAAAATGTCTGTGTATAACACTGCCTTACGGATTAAATCAGAATCACCAATCCTTTAAGAATAACCTGATATAATTTTTTTTTTTTGAAGTGCGGCAGTTTTGCATGGTCTTTATTAAATTTATAAAATACTAGGTACATATAATAAAACAAAAAATACAAAAATATCTATAAATTAATTTATAAACTAAACTACTTTATCAATACCAACCTTACACTTTTCTGAACTAAACTATAAACAGAAAAAAAAAGAAAAGAAAACTTAACAAGACTAAACTATTATACAGTTATCAAATGTTTGGAAGGGAGAGTGTAATTACTGCCTTTCCAAAAATTTGACCAGTGGGAGCCATAGGCGGTAGCCTCTATAAAATAGGTGGAGTTTGAGATTGAGGATAGAGGAGAGGAGTGTAGAAAACCAGAGGATTTCCAAGGGACAGTGTAGTCTTCTTCAATGTTATTAGCAATTTTCCATTCATTGAGAGCAACGTTTCTGTTTTTCTACATCTCATAGCAGGATGAAGAAAAGTCATAGTAAAGGGATGATAATAGACTGTATGATAGTGTTATTGTAGATACATATGCAGTGACTTTAGTTGATAATGATAAGAGTATAATTCCTTTGAGTAAATCAATAATCCAAAAGCTAGTTAAAATGGGTATTGAATTCCAGATATTATCTGATAATATTTCTTGTATTAGTGAGTCATCCATCAGAGTATTCAATTCTTTAAGGTGAGTAATAAATGATGATTTGTGTTCAGCAACAATCTCTTGAAGGGTTGGATTGTTTTTTGAACACAGCCAAAGGTGTTCAAAATCTTCAATACTAAAATGACATCAGAAGCATTGTGTTAAGGTGTATGTATCAGGAATGCGAGCGTGTATTACATCCAAGGTAGGGAGCATTTGGAGCAACATTTTGATTTTAAATTTCTTTTTAAAACATCCTATAAAGAATGTTTTTCAGAAGGATTCTTCATCATTGAGTATCTTGAAAAGAAGGGGCCAATTAATAGACTTATCATGATATGGATTTAGGTATAGTAAGGAAAGCAAGAACTCAGCCCAGACAGCTTATTTTTTGTTTTTTATGAAGAGACGATGGGAGCTATAATCAGGATTGAGTGATGGCAAAGATAGTAACCTGGATCCAGATAGTTTTTGTTGATAGACAAATTGTGAGCAGGAAGTTGCTTTGCTAATTTGTCTACTGTGTTGTTGAAAGGGTCATCATTGTGAGCTTTTATTTTTTAAATGATACAGAAATGTTATTTTGAGCTATTAGGCTAAATAACATTGACCAAATGTGAAAATATGAAATTTTGAAAGCAAGTTTGATAGATAATGAATTACAGAAAAGGAATGACAGTTTTTGAAAAGAAGAGATAGCAGCTTGTGAATCGGTGCAAATTTCAATTTCAGAGTTGGACGGTGAAGCATAGATTTCAACTAAAATAGCGACGATTTCTGCGAGAGTTGAGGAGGACTTTGTGATAAAAAAGTGGCATTGAATGATAGTGAGGGCCAGTTTGAATTAGTTTGTAACCACGCAATACCCAAACGAACGTTTAAAGTATCTAGAGAAGTTAAAGAACCATCTGTATAAAATTGAAGAGAAGAAGCAGAGGTAAAATTAGATTTAATATTATTAAGTAAATTTATTGAAAAACTATCAAATAGTAAGACATTCAAATCTGATAAGGGCTTTGTTAGATATTGATAAGGATTGGTCAGTTTAGATAACGCGACCTCTCTTAATATCAGATCAGAAAGACTGTATCTCTATCCTATGCATTTGTTATATTGAATTTTGATTTCTGTACAGAATTTGAGTGGAAGTTTCATTACATAAAAATTGTGGAAGTTTTTATGAACAGTAGTGACAATTTCTGTTGGATCAAAAAGACTATATCTGTTACATTGATTGATATCAGCTCTAGAATTTGAGTCATGTATGAATATATAATATTGGGTATAAATTATGTTGTTAACAATAGCTTTGACTTTTCCAAATATGTATGTCATAAATTGATTAGACCAGATAATCACAAAGGTGGAATTATTATTGTCATCCTCTTTTAAGTGAATGGTAGTTGGGGGTAGGTCACATATTGAAGGGTAAGGTGTACAAGAAGGTGTTATAATCCTATTTGAGCTGTTGGAAAGGAATTTATATTCTAGGTTCAGAAACCAGTTTGCACGTGATATGTTAGTATTGAGAAGCCAATTGATATCAAAGGACGTAAAAAGATGATGTCTATCCATAGACGTGAATTGATCTATGAACATAATTGATAGTATACGAATGTTCTTGATAGACTTTCTGTATATATTTGTAGGTACAATTGCTGAAATGGGTATAGAGCCTCCCATAATTTTAGTGAGATCAAAGTATTTGTCCAAACATTTTTTAAAGTAAAACCATCCAGTTTAGCAGCGGATAGGAAGGAAGATCACCAGTCTTTAAAGATCAATGGATTATCATAAGGCCAATTAGTAACAGGTGATAAGTACAACTATTCTAAAAGTTGAAGTTGCATGATTTTCAACCTAGCAGTGTGACCTAACAAGGCGATATTATTTATCATTTTTTATTTTAAGGAAATTAAAAGATTTGGCAAGTATTTGTTTATCATAAAGGTGAGCCAAGTTGTATTCAAATGTTGAGTGGATAATAGGGGTAGGCAAGGATTTTGTGAGACAGAGCTTATTTTTGAAAAAAGCTCAAAACGAGGCCATCATAATGTTGCAAAAGTTCGCAGGTAAAAAGGTCAATTTAGTTTTGTAAATAATTCACAGAATGACTACCGAATTAAAAACTGCAACAATTTGTTTTGCTGTAAGTCATTTTTTATCTAATACATTTTTGACTTTTTTGAATTCAGTTGAAACTTGATTTTTTATAAATGAGGCATTATCAAATAATGATATCCAGACGCTAAGGTAACGAGTGGAGTCTTTATGCGAGAGTGGTGGGAGTCAAATGTCCTTGTCATTGAACATAAAATTAACGGGTTGGTTTCTTTGATATTTGTTAGCAAAACTGATTTGTCCTAATTTACTTGAATGCTGTTGAGAGTAAAAAAAGAGTTCGCAATATCCATTATGCTTTGGAGATCCATTCTGAAATCAGCCATCCAAAGGGTATTGTTCATGTAAGTGAGCGCAGGGACATGATTTGAGAAACTAGTTGTAGAATTTTTTGTGAGGTCTTTCTTCCAGTTAATGCTTTGAGTGTAACCTAAAGAGGAATTTTGGATTTTGCATAACAATGGGTCATAGTAAATATACCATAATATTGGGGAGATAATTTTATCTTGGTCAATGCCCGAAAGAACATAGTAGGTATTAGTGTTACCATGTGTAGTGAATATTTGATTAATCTGAGGAGTAAAAATTGAAATTATTAGGTGAACAAAAGTCATTAGAAGGTGTAATCTAGTTAGCGCTCTAATCAACATTCCAAGATTGACCCTGTCATAAGCTTTCGACATGTCTTGAAATAGGATCCAAAGGTTATTGTGGTAAAATGTCGTGTCATATTTAATATTATCAAGAATGTTGATTAGTTTCAATATGCTTCTGAAAGGAAGACTAGCGAAGTTGTTGCCTTTAAGAATGTTATTTTTTGCTAAGATAGTAAGAAGTTGACTATTAATAAGTTTAATGAGAGCTTTTTTAAGACATTCTAACAATATGATCGGTCTAGTATGATTGAGATTGTATTCCCATGGTTTTGGTTTTAGAATTGGATAAATGAAGGCCAAATTCCATCTATGAGGAGTTAAGTTATGTAAAAGACAAATAGAGACAATCTTTCAGAAACATTTAAACGCAAAAGGACCAAGATGTTTCAACATTTCATTTGATAATTTAGAGGGGTCAGGAGCTTTGCTATTAGGTAAGGATCTAAGAATGTCAAACTATTCTGCTTCAATAGGAGGTTGCATTAAGGGATCGTATATGCTAGAATCAATATTATTTAATGGTGTATATTCTTCTTTTTACAGATTTGAAACTGATGGGTTGGAATATCTAGATCCTACAACTTGTTGGAAATGATGAGCTGTTTCTCTTTTACATCTATAGGATCTGTAAGTAGCTTTTTGGACGGACTGTTATTGTTAATACAATGATCTAAATGAATAGTTATCCTGAGACGTTCAAGGAGGGAGTCAAACATTACTGATTGATTTGTAGTAAAATTATCACATCTGCGATCTATTGCTTCCTGTATAGATTTTGATTTATATTCGAGTTCTTGTATTTTTGCGGCAGCTATTAAGATCTTTTTTAGATCTTTGAGACAAGATAACGATGTTGATATAAAATTTAATGTATAGGAATCAGAGGTGGGTAAGGGTTATCGTACTCCATTGAGAACAGTGAAATTTTATTAAATAAAGTACCCCATTTGCTGTCATAAGACCCACTGGTTAAACATAGTTTGAAAACTCTCTCCAATTTATGTAAGAGTTTGATGTGTTTGTAAATTAGCTTAAGTAATTTCGGTCTAAGGTCACGAGTATGATGTGAAATATGTTTGTTCAGTATACATTTTAGTGCAGCGTCTATAATAGCTTTTTGTAGGAGGTCCCATGTGAAGTTGAGCTTATGGATGTTAGAAATATTATCAAAGTCAGTGGAAGCCAGTCTTGACTTTTTGCAACGAACATC